GAGATAGTCGAATACATCTGATATGGACTTAGATTTTTTATAGTGCTTTTTCCAATCACAAATGGCTATGTGGAAGGGCTAGCCAAGCGACACCTCCAAATTAAAGGTGGGCATCGCATTTTCAAAACCCTTTTTGTCAGATCTCTCGATCTATATGTATTCCTTGTTTTTAAATGCACCGTATGATTGATACTCGTACAAGCACTTACTTCAAAAATCCAAGCAGTGAGATCAAACGAAGAGCAGCTTCTGGGTTTGTAACCTTCCAATAGATAGATTTGACCTAACTTATTAGCTCCTTTATGTTATTAACAAAGCGAGCAACACTCTGAGAACTTCGTTCTTTGCATGTTGCCACTTGAAAAGAGGACTGAGAGTAACTTCCAATCTGATGAGTTTATTACAGCATCTATGTGAAATATATAGACTTCTTGAAATAATTCTCACAGGGATAAGCTAAGGATAGAAGAGAGAGAAAGAGGGGAGAGAGGGCCCAGAAGCAATCAATAATGTGCAAAATGAGAGGCTTCCCCTAAAGGTTGGTGATTGTGTGGCCGTCATCATTGGAGGCACATGCCATAGTTAGGATCCCCCACCAACTAAACGATAATTAATCTCACACAATATATATATTAACGTACATATAATAGACCATTCTCGAAAGAAGAATATTATATGTTGAATTATCGTTAGTATTCTATTATTTTTCTCTGTACTGCATTGCTTTAATCTCCTATATATAATCATGATCCAGCTTCTTCCTCACTTTTACCCTGAGGTAAAGTAGATTAAACTGATGAATCACATGTTCATGTAGCAACAGTCCAAATTATAGACGATCTTTCTGAATCAGCTCTGACACATGCAATGCATTTCATAATTGTACTGTAGAACATGATGTGAGCGCAGATGAATACTCAACAGTACTTCGCGATCAAGCTGTACCACAATTGTGGGTTTCGATAGATATCGATAATCCAAACGAACATCAAAAGCAAAAATGATCGAGGCACAGAATGTTTGTGTAAAATTGTTTTCAGCATGATAATGACCAGAATATTTGTTGCATTTAAATTTGACAACTTACGACGACCGTCACATTATGGGGTGGTTGCAGAAGAAACGCGTGGATTCACCAGTTGAAGAACACGATGGATAGTTGAAGGGCCTTAGCTTAATTCACGGTTGGTGTTTGGAGTTTACAATATGCAATATGTGGCAGCCTACGACACATACACATGAAAACAGTATCATGTTCTGATATATATATATATATATATATATATTTCATGTGTGGCTTCAATTTTTGATGACCAAACAGAACAAAAGACTCAAGCATTTGATGAATTTAATGTCATTTTCAATATTGTTTATATTATCATCATCACCAACTTCGACATGTTCTGAGCACAAAACGAGTGAATACAGTCACACATATTCATCAGTACATAACGGGACATCTATCACAGATAACCAAACATTTGTTAATTAATCAACCTTTGCTTCTTTTTTCTTCCGTTTAAGTATATCTTTTTTGTTGTTCTTCTGCAGATGAGTGAATAAAAGAAAGGGTTTCTAAAAGCTCACGATAAGAGCTAAGAGAAGCGACAAATTAGGTTTCTGTCTTTTCCTCTATTAGAACATGATGTGTATTGGCTTTGTATGTGGCCAAATGGACAATAATGAATCTAAAACATGAAGGCATCTAATGGTGACTTGTTGCCAGCAGATGTTCGAAAGTGACTTCAACGGCAAATATAACCATTTCAAACCTCAAACGTCAAAGAGTAATTCAATTTTTTTGCTTCAGAAAATGAGAGGTCAAGTCTTTAACCAATTGAACTTCCTCAAGAACTCCAAAATGAAGCGCACACTTGGCAAAAGATAAAATGTGAATTGAGACGGGGAAAAATATCAAAGGAGAATATACCTCAATCTTTTCAATCGCTTTACGAATAATCTCTATTCTTGTATTTTTACCTTGTAAGGGCTTTCATAATCATTCTAGCTAGTACGAATCAACACTTGACGAAGTTATGCTTCATCATTCTCTGATGCGTGGTTTAGATTAGAACTTTGATATCAAAAATAGGTTGTTTCCGAGATTCATAGGTCCATGTTTTAGGACAATATCTTCCTCAAATAATGGTAACGTACAGTGATTTTTGAGAAGGAAAGGACCAAACCAAATCTTGTGATTAAAGCTCTATCTTATTGACTGTTTAAGAAACAGTGTCAACATTGAGATCCACTCAGCGAATGGCTGATCACCTTGTATGGCTCTCCTTAATTTGCTTCGAATGGCAATTTTGTGGGCGCCATATTTTGATGAATAATGTACTTTCATAATATATCCCAATTTTTCAAACTCAACCATCTTGAAATTCCTGCGGCCAATTATGGAGAGAATAAAATTCACAACCACCTGTTTAATTCCCCCCCCCCCCCTAGAACTGAAACTTTTGTCCTCTAATATGGACAAAAAGATTCTCGGATTATGTAATTAACGAGATGGGTAATACTGGTTAATTCATCTAATATCACATTCTGGGACCAACCTTTTAGGGGACTAAGACCTTGAAGATCAGCACATATCATCATAAAACGACAGAAAAAACACTTTCATAGGCCATAGTTATCATCATTTATGCATTGAAGTGAGGCTCTACTCTAGGGTTTTAATTATCAATAAGCTTAATAAAGCTTAATAAAGCGGGGTGGTTGCTTGCAATTTTCATCAATGGAGAAGAATCTGATCTTGTGTTCTTGAGCACTATGATGCGCTTAGTATCGAGTAGGCTTCTTTTTTTATTTTCTTCCTTATCTTTTCCTTCTTGTTTTCTGAGCTTAGTTGGGTTAATTTGCTTTTAATCTTTCTGTTAAAAGGTGCAATACATAATAATGGTGGTTAATTCATAAAAATAAGGTTTAAACGTTCACAACCAAAGTAAGTTTGTGAGGTAATACATCACATCCAGATAAGAATATTCTAAGCAATTAGTGACTAGCCAACGCGACAATTCAATAATTTACATTTAAACTCACAAATACAGCTTTCCTCCACTAATTAGGTAATGATTACAAATAATCCTACTACTTTTATTGGAACATCCTAGATTATAACACCTAGGGATTCAAGTAATTAACTAGACGTCAATACCGTAAAACCCTAACCAGATTGGTAAGACTAGTGCCTAGTAAATCAACAAAACGAACTGGTAAAAATTGAACAAACAGTAGTTGGATTTGAACATTCAGTTTAAAAAAATACTAGAAACCATCAGATCTAATTAATTAATTCTTTATACTATGACTCAATGTTTGGATGAGTCGTTCCATCCCAACTTTTTAAAGGGTGACTAGTTACTTCTATGCAAATCTCCTGACTGTGTCTGCAACCTTACTTTCTTTATCACTGAGCAGTCATTTAGGGGTCTTAGTTGGTAACTTGAGCTATTTCCTTCTTAATTTTAAAGCTTATCCCCCATTGTCTCACTAGCTGACCTTGACTCTTGTCATTTTGAGGTCATATCTAGTATTTAGAGTTTGCCAATAGAATATTCTTAGGAAGGAACAGGATATGGGACAAAAAGGCGGTATCAAGATGAGAGACAACGTCATGTGAATAGCCCTATCAAATTTTAATGTGAGGGATTCATATGATTTTCAGATTGATTGATCATATGGCTAGAAACTGACCTTAAATGAACCAAGTGATAATAGATTCAGGTTCATGCATGAACTAAAGCACTTGCTAATTACGCTAAATTAATCTCTCTGTCACATTTAACTTTTTCTTAACAATTCTGTTTCTTTTTTTATTATTTCCCAGGGAGAAGTTGTACAGCACTAATGTGAAAAGTTATTCTCATATAAAGGTAGTGTGTTTCCCTGGGTTGCAACATCATCATATGCCATTTAGCAATACACGATTCAATTCACAGAATCTAAAAGAATGGGGAACCACTAGCTATGTGCCTTTGCGATAATAATAATTATTATTATTTTAATCCGTTGGTTTTTAGCAATAATTAATCACTGCATTAAGCTGAGAAGAATTCTTCACATTCATCATGAATCACTTAGCAATGCTTTAAGTGATAATTAGCATTGAAATGGCCGATATGCCGACAGCCTTAAAGGTCAAATTTACTAATGAAGGCTTAAAAAAAGAAAGCACAATGATCAAGTCCAAAACGTTATGTCGTACAAGATTATGCATGCAAATGACCAAAGCCTATGTGATATATAGGGGGATGAATTTTTATTATGCAGCCTGCTGAGTTATCGAGGATGATGAGATATATTATTTCACTATTTAACAATGTTGATATTATTATGCCTCTAAGATTATTTAGAGGATATGATTGACAGGTGCAGTAAATTTAAGGATTTGAGCTTAACAATTTGAGCCTAGGGCTTTTAGCACAGGTCATAGTAATTACGGATCCTGGTAGGGTGAATAACCTTGTAACATTGGGGCCCTCAATGCTTGGAAACACTTCTTTTTTACTTTTCTTTCATTCTTTTTTTCGAAATAAAAACATGGTACTACTGTTGGAAAAAAGAGGGCTAAAACTACAGCATCTTATAAACACGAACAGAGTTTCCTTATCGTAGTTCGTTGATGCATCGTTCGGTAATCATTTTATCTCACGGCACAATAATAAAGTATCACATTATTGCGAAATATCATCAAGACTTCAAAACATGCAGCGTAATTATTATGCCCCAAAAAGTATGTAGACTGCTTTGAACTTTTGAACATTGAGCATTAAACTCAGCCTAGTTATTAAACCGAACTGGTTAACAATCATAAATCTATTTCCCATATTCCGGGCCGAAAAAAAAAAAAACTATTCCCCCGACATGAACAAGAAAACATGTGCTTTACCAATTCCCAGTTCCCACGTTTCCATTCAAAGTCAGAGCATGACCGACAAAACTGGGTGGCAGGGCTTTTTCAGGCCAATAAGATGGCAGAGTTTGACAGAACCAGATAGCACATTTTGACAAGAAATTAAACTGAAGTGTGACGAAGACGTACAAAGTTAGTGGCCAGTTAGATGTCAAATAAGGTCACAGTAGGCTGGCGACCTTCTATGTAATAGATGTCCAACGCGTTCAAACAAACCGGTTACTACTAAGATTACAAACTCCACAATCACTATTAATAACGAACTTAACATGGACAGATACCAAGACAACCTAAAAGCATAGATAAGGCAACAACATAATCCGTATTTCTCCGTCAAAAGCCAGGCATTGTCATTTATATTGTATCCTTGGATCTCCACAACAAAACGCAATCATCCATCTCTGATCCCATCTAGCTCCTGCTCTTGGATTTTTCCATGGCTCTGGGAGCTGTGACAAACAAGAAAAAACATTTAAACCAAAACAAGACCTACTCCGGAATTATTGTATAGTATGAAGCATATTTTTAGCAGGCTTGCCGCTTGCTAATATTTGACATGATATATTTCTTCGCAGAGGGAGGAATCTTTTGTCAATTATAGGCAATGACGCAGAGGCACTCATTCTCATTGCCTGCGTGTTTCGTTTCATACACGCAAACTCGTCCAGCCACTCAAGAAAACATCAATTTGTTCCCCTCAACATAACAGACCGTTGAGAATTTAACCCATGCTCTGCTTTACTCCTGATAAATAATTTAATTAAAAAAACACCAAAGCAAGTTACTCTTCTTCCTCACTTGAGATTAGTCCTACATAATATCGAAGTAATCGTCCATATATTGAATCTCTAGGTCTTTATGTTTAGGAAGGCCCCATTTCATCAATTCAATGCATAACCTTTATATAAAAAGAATAACTAATGTAAAATGAAAGAACCAGGTTAAATGCATACCCAAGCCAATGGCATCAGAACCCTTCATAATTTTCAGCCTCCTGCATGTCTCGATGAACATCCTGTGACAACAGTAAATAACACTTTAAATTAGAATGCAAACCAGGGGCAGGTGAAGTCATGGGCATTTATCCAATCATCAACAATTAGATGCAAACAAAGTGTAAAATTAGCCGCTATAATTGATGTCAATCATGTAACAAATGAGATTAGCACATGCCAAGAAGAATCATTATTTGAGGAGCTTTAAAATCAAATACAGCAGCAAAATCCTTAACAAGATCTTACTCTACTCTTCTAAAATATTCCACTGCAAAAATCAACCATAAAACTCCCATATATTACAACTTCCAAACAGATCAACAACATCTACTCCCACCTAGGCCGCAATGCTATTGAAAATTAAATCCATTTCCATGCACTACAAAACAACACAGGTCATGTTTTAAAGGAAACTTGAGTACAACCAGACCATAAAGTTCAGTTCAAAAGATATTCACAAAGACAAGGAGAAAATTTATGATACAAATCACAAATCAGTCACAAACTGCCTTTTAAGGTGAATAGTACAACTGCTAACATGCTGAATGTGCTGTAGGCATGTTGCATGACAATAGAAGATTCAAGTAAAATTACACAGAAATTGCGCATAAAAAAACCACTTGGAAGGTACAAAGTTATCCATAAATCAAATTCAAGTAGGTAAAAAGGAGATAGGCATCACATAAACAAATTCAAACATGCAAAACGAAACTCATGTTGTCTACCACTTAATTACTAATTATGCATAACATGAATTCAAATGGGAGGTACTATGCGATCATGATCAGCAAATTAAAACCTGATTTCTTTGCGACAAAAATTTACTTGTGAAATACTCTGTTATCCACAGGTCAAAATCCAGTAGGTCAAAGTAAAGGAGGCATCATACAAATAAAATAACAAGATAGCAGTCTTTTTCCCCGGGGGGGGGGGGGGAATCAGACATGCGATATGTAATCCATGTCTGTGCAAATTATGCATAAAAAAATTTCCTTGGAGCCCATGGCTTGTGTTTGATCGTGAGACCATGCATTAAGGACAAAAGCTAAGCAAACGAAATTACAGGTATTGGAATTACTTGAGTACAGTACTTTAAACCAGTACACCCCAGAGATCTTAGACCCGTTCTGCTAAATATGAAGGGAATGCAGTAGTCTGCTAATTTCCACATCAACTGTAACTTGACACACAAATCATTTAACAGATGAAAAATGCATACTGTAAGAAGCACCACACATATAAGTGTGATCAACGGTTTGTGGATTTTGAGTAGCTATAATGGCTAAAACAGATAAAATTGCAATTACAACCCAAGTGGTAGTAACAAGTACTTAGGCATGGACTTTGAAACCCCCTATTTGCCACAGATTACTAGTAATCTGTTTGTTATTTCCAAATCGATTGAAAATAAATATTTCAACAAATCAATGAAAATAAGAGAGTCTTGAGTTATTTTGGCTTAATACGTATTCCATCTAACTACTTATGAGGAACACTATTATTACCGGCAAAAAAATATGAATGCAATGCAAAGCACAAAGGTTTTACAAGACTCACCCCCATGGTACATCCCCTACAAGCATCCAATCACCATCTTTATCTTCATAAGTGAGAACATACTCAGAACCATGCAGAAGATCCCTCAATTTGCTCTCACTTAACATTTCTCTGCCTGAAGCACCATGAGAACCACATTGACCTGAGATCATACACATTGCAACAGCTCAGTAAACCTATGCCAAGGGTGACGTAACTGGAATTCATTTAACAGATGAGTCACAACAATGTCAATATCAAGTAGAAATGCAACTACTCACCTAAGGTAAAACAGCTGAACATCTTCTCGAGGGCAGAAGACAGTTCTTGATATGTTGTATAATTCCTTAGATCTACCTTCCTTAGATAAGGAGCACCATCCATGCTCACCTTCACGAAAAGAGCAGCAGGACCAGGTTTTCCATCAACTTCATCATTGTTCTTTGAAGTATTAGCCAATGAATTCTTCCTATATGATCTTATAGGAGGCCAACCAACAACTTGTGCCCTGCCATGGATAAGAAATTATTCGCATAATTAGACTTCCGTGCAAATTCATCATAAGGTCATTATCATACTTCCAGTTTCTTTGAAATTACAAAACCATTATTCTAGGTTCCACTTACTTAGCAGCTGGCGCACTGCCATTAGCATTAGTACCCCCATGATTATGACCAAGTCCAGTGGCTGCAGAAGGCCGTTCCTGTGAAACTTTAGAAGGTATTTCTTTCATAAAGGTTGGCTGAGCTCCAGAAGATCTAGATGACATTACATTTATCCCTGGAGTACCAGTAAAATTCCCCTGCACCACAGACTGCGGAAGATTAGAGTCAAAAAGAAAGGAATTCTGCTTCCCTTCAATATGGAGAACTCCTTACCTCTGGGAAACCCTCCATGGTGTCAGAGAAACCTCTCTTGTTTCCTAAAACCACATGTTTTTGGGATGATGAACATATTCCATCTTTTGAAGGAAGCAAAGGAAATAGCGGTTTCTCATCAAGCTTTGTTGAGTTCGATGCATAAAGATCTGAATCCCTTTCAGGAGACTGGGATCCAGGAAGACCCAACCTCAACTCAGTAGCCTTCAAATTCATGTTGTCCTTTTTCTCATCTGACATGCTTGGGACACTAGAACTGTCAACTGATGAGGAACAATCTGACAATCCAAGGTAATTACGCTCTTTTAATGCAGTTCCATTATGGGAGATAGAGTCCAAGGACGGTGAAGATGCTACTGTCGAAATATTGCTCTGCCCTTCCTCCTCAGCAACCAGCAGCGGTGGAGACATCAGACTTCAATATACAAACGGCTTTAACTGAAAGCATAAACTAATAGTTAGCATAATCTGTTGCTAGGAAGAAACGCGACGTGTAAAAGCCCGAATCCGTAATCAACAACAGAAGCAAAATTACGAGCTGTAGAAGCCGTAGCAAAAGTTGGGTAACCTTTCTTCCATCCAGAAGAATGTTAGCCAAATGCTTAAAAAAGATAATCAGAATCATCTAAGAGGAGCCATCAAAGATGGGGAAGAGTCCCCGATTACTCTAATCACAATATTAGCATGCACTAAATTGCCGGATTACGCACGGAAGGTGCATGCACTTATTTCCGCCATGATGCAGTCACAAAGCATGACAAATAACTAATAATGATACAAAAATCGCAAAATGACCACGGATAATAACTAATCTAGTACAAAAATTGAGCAATCCTCTCTGGTTTGTTGGCTGGGTGCAGCTCCAATAAGTTATGGTGGGTACTACGAGGGTCTCAAGATTTGGGTAAAATTGATGTGATTTACTGAAGGTCAACAAGCGTACCAGTGAAAAATAAAACACATACATATCTGAAAATAAAGCTCAATCAAGGAATCCAGGGTTTTTGGGCGACCCTCTTCAGTGTGCTCGAAATAATTATTCTGGGCCGCCAACTTAATCCACGGTCAAGAACATAGCTATTGCACACAACTAAATTCAAGTAGCTATGGAAAATACCAAGTCTTCGTCTTCTTGACTTCCCTTCCTCGTTGGTTTTGAAATTTGCAGAACTTTCTATTTAAGCTCTATAAGCTACGGTTATCCCAAAAATAAGCACAGCAAAGGAAAACCATAACACAATTCAAGAAGGCCCGACACATCAGATTCATAGCAACCCTTGTGAAAACAGAACTAGCACCAAATAACCTGAACAGGCTGAGAAAGAATAAAACTTCTAATCATAATATTCCCCCGACTGGACAAAAAATTTAAAAAAACAAAAACAAAAGGCACATTCTGCTTGGCAGTGCCAAGGCAACTCAAAACTCAATCGATATGCACTCCGATTCGTGTAAAGCAAAGAGCTGAAAACGAGCAGAAACTACCTTGAGAACAAAAAAGAAAAGAAAAAAAAAAAGGAAAAAACAGAGAAGGGACGAAAATGGAAGGAGGAAGGTAAAGGAGGATTTCGAAGGCTTACCAAACAAGGGATTGCTAGATCAGAGAGAGAGAAAGACCAATTAATCTTGAGAAAGTTTTTACAGGGAAATGCTAAGGCGAACGCAGAGGTAGAAGGTAAAGCGGAAAAGGAGAGAGAAAGCTTAAGGCCATTCCATGACGCAGAAAGCAACAAAAGCTCGGCCGTGCTCGCTGAGAACCTCAATGAATGCGGAGAAAGAAAAAAGTTAAAAAAAAGCGGGAAGGGGCAAAATAGACAATTCACTAAAAAAAGTCGATGTCGCGTTGCGTGCTTGAATATTCTGATTACTAATGAATAGTTAATAAATTTCAGGCTCCAAAATGAGGAGTGGGTAATTTTATGGTACGCGAATCTAGGAGGCAGGGAATCCAATCGGACGGCTGTGATTGATTGAGGGGGAAATATCAAGCCATCAATCTGGGGGAGACAAGGAAATAAATGATTTGTCCCTGTTAACAGGTGCAATGAATTATGATGCCTTTTCTTTTATTTTGTTTTATTCAAAAAAATTTTAACGTGATGCATTTTTGGGATGAGCACTCGCACAGAGCCCAGGCCCGTGCCATTCAAATGACAAATCTGCCCTTGGCTGAGTCTTTCGCTATCCCATGCTACAGCTTTGCTCGGGGCAGAAAAACAATTCTGCTGTTAGTTGTCTTTGGTTCTTAGGCTAGTCTAGGAAGGGCCTTATCCAAGATTCGTCTTGCCTTTGTTTAAAAAAATATATATATTTTTTAATCCCATTTATTTATAAGATATTGAAAAAAAATGTTATGTAGATGTATAATTTTATCCTTCATTTATTATCATGTTAACTTTGTTTACATTAGGTATAATTTTCATTAAATATGGCTAAAGTTGAAAATTTGTTGAATTTTAAATGAGAATTAATGAAGTTTAAAGTTTTTCTTGATTTATATGAAACATGTTAAAAGTGTCTTGTAAATAAAACCATAACAGTATCATTTAAGCCAAACACTACTCTAAAATAAAAGGAAAATTCAGAATAGACATGCGCATCATAAAATTAATTGGCAAAATCAGAATTTATTGATCCTGTTTATAAGTTATTTTCAACATATTTTATATAGACAAAAAAATTTAAACTCTATTAACTCTCATTTAAAATTTAACAACTTTTCAATTTTATTTATATTTAATATACATCATACCTCATGTAAACAAAATTAGCATAATACTAAATAAAGGATAAAATTGTACATGTATATAAAAAAATTCTCTCAATGTCTTATAAATAAAATCAAAAGATATCTTCTCTCTACTTTATAAATAAGACCAGAGGAGTAATTCACAAAACTATGAGTTCAAATTATGATCTTAATGTGAGGATCTTGTTAATAACCAATCTATCTAGAGGTTTGTACGAGCCCTAGTGAATCCTGAAGCTTCAACAGTCATAAACTTTAGTATAACAAAGAAAAGGTAGTTGGCAAATAGTCTTTATAGGATAACAGGTTGCAATACATGCACACAAAGAAAAAGGATAAAAAAGAAATTTAATAAAAGTAAAACGAAATATGCAAATTTTGTGAACTGTGAAAACAAAATGCACAACAATTCATTAATTAAATATTTGATAATCAAACACAATGCATCTTGGTTTTAAGGACGAGTTAGAATCACAGTTAAAATATTTATAAGCACAAACAAAACTCTTCTCCTATACTTATATCATATTCTATAAATTACCATTAAAAAGTTATTTATAAATTATTCTAAATGAGCCCTAACTAAACATAAGTGTAAGATTCAAAATTTTCAAATTAAACATTTACTTTATTATGTTTAAAACATATGGTTTTTTTTTTAATCTTAGTTTAGTTTTAAGCTTTAGCTGTCATATTTTTTTTATTTACTTAAGGGTTTTTTTCTTTTGAAATTTACTTCTCTAATCCTATTTATAAATCACTTCGAACATGTTTTACACAGATTACAAAAAATTTTAAATTTTATTAACTTTTATTTAAAGCTCAGCAACTTTTCAACTTTATTCTTATTTAATATATATTATACTTTATGTAAACAAAGTTAACATAATAATAAATAAAGGATAAAATTGTACATCTATACAAAAAAATTCTCTCAATGCTTTATAAATTGGACTAAAAAATGTTCTCTTTCTCTATCCTATCAGTAGGACCAGAAGAGTACCACTCTGTTCCTTATTATAAGTCACTTGTATCCCAAAAGTTTATTTTAAAATATAAGTCACTTGTAGTATAATTAATGATCTTTTCCAATTTTACCCCTGTTAATTTAATAAAAAATTAATTAATCTCTTTTTCAACTTTTCATCTCCTATGCAATCCATCCCCTCCCCCCCCTCTCTCTCTATTTTCAATAAGGGTAAATACGAAAGAAAAAACTGGTTAATTTAATGTATTTCTTGATTTGCAGGTTTTGGATATAAGTGATTTATATTAAGGAACAGAGTGGTACTATTCCAAAAGTTTGTTTCAAAATATATGTGACTTGTAGTATAATTAATGATCCTTTTCCAATTTTGTCCCTGTTAATTTAATAAAAAATTAATTAATCTCTCTCTCCATCTCTCTCTCAACTTTTCATTTCCTATGCAATCCTTCCCCTCCATTTCTCTCTCTCAACTTTTAATAAGGGTAAATGTGAAAAAAGAACTGGTTAATTTAGTGCATTTTTTAATTTGCCGGTTTGAGATTCAAGTGACTTATAATAAAGAAATAGAGTGATAAAGTGTTTTTGCTTTTTTCAATAAGTATGTTTTTTGATATTTGAACTTGTATGTTTTTTTTAAATAAAGATGAAGCCATTTATTAACTCAACTAACCCAACCAATAGCTTCTCATTTTATTTTTAAGAATATTTGAATTCAAGGACTACAATGCTTGATCAATTTTAATTTTTTTGTACATTTTTGAATGTGAAGTAAGGCGGGGGTAAATTGACCTAATAGAAGCTGACAGTTGAATGACGGAAAGGTGATATATAGAGGAAGAGGACAGAAGAGGAGAGGGAAAAAGGAGTAAAACCAGGAAGCATATTTATGTTTGAAAGGTCAACTCATTTGCAGGCCAGCAGCAGCAGGTTCCCTCAGTTATTATTATTATTATTATTACGATTTAAGATTCATCATTCGTGAGGATTTGGTTTGTCTCCGCGTGAGGGGAGGGTGGCTTTTGCATGCCAAGGACCTGGCACCAATCCCTTTTCATGGGATTGCTTGGTTGTCACATGTCTTATTTATAATTTTTTTGGCCAGAGTTTTATTTATAAATTATTTTTATGTTTTACACAGATTAAAGGCTTTACATTTCATTAATTTTAACTTAAAACTCAACAATTTTTTTAATTATACTCCTATTCGATATATATTATACTCTTCAACCTACAAAAATATGTATATGCATTATACTTTACAGGAACAAATTCAACAAATAATAAATAAATGGTAAAATAATTTTTTTTATAAACAGAACAAGAAAATTTTTATCTCTCTGTCCTATATGTAAAATTATATGAGTAATTTAAAATTAAAAAAAAATCCCTTAAAAGGAGGGAAATATATGTTCCATCTATAAGACACCTTTTAAAAGGAAGGGATAGTTCTTATTACTCCTTCTTGTTCTTATTATAAGACTCCTTTAAACAAAAAGGTTTTATCCTTTTTTTTTACAAGACCATATGCTAGTCTTAAAGTGAATTAAATATTTTTTTCATTGGCAAAAAAATTAAGTATTTTTTCATATATGCTCATTTTTAATAAAGGTAGAGAGAGATTTAATGTCGTCAATTAGAGTAATATTGAAAATCACTTAAACTTTATAAGAAATCCAATGCTTTTAAATATTTTTATTGACATGCGTAAATTAATTAGCAGGATCTTATAATAAATACCATAGGGGTATAAGTCATTTGATGCGGTACTAATATGTGTGAATGAGTTATAGGTAGGTTAAAATATAAGGATTATAGTGATATAAATTTTTGTTTAATTCAAATATGGATAAAATTGAAATTTTATTTCATTTTTAAGCAGAGTTATTCATCTCTTATTGACTGCGATGAGAGGCAGCCTAACATATAGGAATGGGACAGAGTATATGTTCAAGTTCCCTGTAACGTGTTTAATGAAATTCAAAAGCAACCCCTCTAAAAAAAAAAAAAAGGAGAAGAAATTGCAAACCATAGGCCCCCAAGTGTCTCTCCTGCATATATGTCCCTGTCTGCAATATCCAGATAGGCCAACGACGGGTACATTACTTGTTAATCCCTTGAGGGATCTAATGGCTCTTGCTTAATTATTGAGCTACCAAGCATCCGGCTCCCATTTGACATTTTCAGATCATTTTATCCAGACAACATCCATAACAATTTGATCAATATTATTTCTTGTCCTTGATAGATGAGTTAGTTGACTGATTTAAATAAATTAAGAAAACTAGTTAAGTTAGTTATTTGTAATAAATAGATGGTATTTTTCCTAAAATATCCTTACTTACCAAGTGTATTGGTTAGAACTATCACTATTACAATGACTACTTTGAAAAAAATGAATAAATATGAGAGACAAAATAGATTAGGGTCTTATATTTAGGTTTAAAAGAAAAATGAAAGAAGCTCTTATATTAAGAATCGGAGGTGGTGTCATTTTTGTGGAGGTGGTATGATTGATAAGTTATAAATAATATTCCTCTCAGTCCTTATTACTTATTTTACACCGCATATGTGATGCACTATGTAAAGTATCACTGTTTAGTTTATCTCGAGCAATTTTAAATGAGAGGAGTTTTTTTTTTTTTTTGACCAAGAAATGAGAGGAGATTGCAGTAGGAAGAGTAGAGGCATCTCATGAATAAAATGTTAGTTCCACAAAGATAGTATCATTTTTGCAACAACAAGATTATTCACTAAATTCAATTTTTCAATTTAACCTGAGCGACTGAGTTACATAAAAGAGTCCTGTATTATAGACTGAGAGGAATATAGTTTATTTATATAAATCTCATGTAACATAGAAGTCCATCAGCTAACTGTATAATCTTTCTCAAAAATTGGGAATCTATATAGTCATAGGATACAATGATTCACAAACTCATAAACTATCAATAGTGTAAATACTTATTTAACTGTATTTACAAATCACTT